CAACTACTATGAAACTAAAACAATGATAAATGTAAAGAGACGTAAGAGTCCAACACCAAACTCATACCTTAAAGCCATCATAATCTCTTTTGGGTTCGTTAAACAGAAAAAAGGTTTCAAACTTGAAATGTCCCATTAACGAGCAACTTGTAATTAATTAAAGTTTTATTGTTACTTTTTATTTTGGTCTTTTGATTTCTAGCCTTTGGTATCGAAATAGCATCAAACAAATTCGAACCTACCAAAATGTTTTAATGATTTGAAGGCACTATTTCGTCCCACTGTTTTCTATTTTGAATCCTAAAGATGCTAATAATAAAATTTCAGATAGCAAAAGTTAAACTATACAGTGTTGAAGCTTTATTAAAAATCAAACACAAGTTCTTATATATTTGTTCAGCTAACAAAAATCATGTAGTTTTGCATTAATCAACTGAACCGGTCAATAAGGTCAAAATCAGAGAACCATGCTAAACCAGTTTACCATGGTCCTTACAAAACCAATCATAATACTCATGTACTTAGGTGTTCCTCAAATCTACAGCTAAAATTTCTAACTGCAACCTTCTTTTCAGATTTTACCAGCAAGACAAATTCAAGGTTATATTCTCGGTTTCTAACCGTTTTGATCCTCATATTCTCGGTTTTTAACCGTTTTGATCCCATATTATCGGTTTGGCAAGGTTTTGTCAAACCGCCCAACAAATCCCTGCAGTGAACAAACTTTAGGAGAGCTCCCGGACCGAAGTCCAAGTTGGCTAAATTCAAAAAAAGCCATAAGCTGCAACCTCAAACTGCAACCTTTCTCTCCAAACTCATCTCCAGTCCAAGAACTTCCACCATTCTATAAATCTCATCAGATTTCGGGTGAGACTTATCGCCTGAAGAGAAACCTTGCATCGTTAAAGAACTTTCAGTGTCACTAACATCGATCCAACTGAATCCACCTTCTTTCCTCACACCTTTCTTCTTCATCTCTTTTCTAATCTCTGCAGCTTTCTCCCACTGTCCTTTCTCTGCGTAGAGGTTATACATCAAAACGTAAGAACCCGACAATTCTGGTTTCATCTCCATTGCAAGCCCAGCCATGTTTGCTCCCATTTTCACATTCCCGTGCAGTCTACAAGACCCCAGCATGCTCTGCAACATCGACACTCCTGGTCCCCCAGGAACCTCACTCATAAGCTCCTCTGCTTCTTTTAATCTTCCAGCTCGGCCAAGCATATCGACCATACATGAGTAATGCTCATGAGCCGGCTCAAGATTGTAGTCTTTGGTCATTGAGTTGAAAATCTCATTGCCTTTGTCTACCATACCTTTTCTATTACAAGCTGTTAACACAGAGAGAAAAGTGATCAGGTCTGGTGCTATGTTTTCTTTAACCATCTCTTGGAACGAGTTCATCACGGATTCAAAATCCCCGTGGCTCGAATAGGCCGATATTATCGATGTCCAAACAAATTGGCTCCTACCAGACATCTCATTAAAGACTTTCTCGGATTCAGTGATGCTCCCACGCTTGGCGTACATATCAAGAAGCGCGCTTGAAACAACAGGACAACTATTAAAACCCAATTTCAGTATACAAGCATGGCAACGCTGACCGTGCTTTAGAGATATATCCTCTGCAGAAGCTATTGCATTTAAGACACTTCCGAAAGTGTATTCATTTGGAACTGTTTCTGTTACTGCTGATAAGAACATCTTGAGAGCTTCATGTGAGAATCCGTTTTGTGCAAATCCAGATATCATAGCATTCCAGGATATAATCTCCCTGAAATGTATCTCATCAAAAGCCTTCTTGGCATCTTCTAGAGCCTCAAACTTGGCATACATGGTGATGAAACTGTTGCCAATAGACAGTTTCGAAGCAAAACCAGTCTTGATGCATATCCCGTGAATTTTAAGCCCTTCTTTGATTTGCTCATTGCACTTAACAGCATTGATTGATCCAACAAATGTGACCTCGTTTGGGCAAACTCCATCTAACCGCATCATATGAAAGATGGATACAGCATCATCTTTATAAGCGGAAATCATCGTTGTCCAAGAGATAACATTCCGTTCGCTCATTTCGTAAAACACTGACTTCGCAGCTTCTACTACCCCACACTTCCAGTAACTTGACAACAACATATTACCAACAGCAACAAGTGTTTCATAACCTCTTTTTATGCACAAACCATGGATTTGCCTGACAAGCTTCAAGTCAGTTTCATGACAACAAGTTGTAATCACACTAGTAAAAGACACGTGATCAAGCTCCACCCCTTCTCGCATCATATCCCTAAAGACAACCACAGCTTCATACCCGAAATTGCCTCCTTGAGAAAGTCCTGACAATAATGAGTTCCATGAAATCATATCCTTAACCGGCATTTCATCAAAAACTCTCTTAGCATCTCTGAAACTTCCTTCCCGCGAATACATTGTTATAAACGAATTCCCAACGATAACATCAGACTCCAGTCCGGATTTCACCACAGTAGATTGCAACTGCAATCCTAAATGAAACCCTTCAAATCCCACACAGAAGGAAAGAGCAGTGGAATAAGTGAACGCATCGAAAACAACTCCGGCTGATTTCATCCTAACAACAAAATTCAGAGCAACTTGATTGTCATCAAATCCAGAGAGTATAGTGTTCCAAGAAACAACATCAGGGTCAACAAGATTCTCAAATATGCACAAAGCATTGTCAAATCGACCGGCTTTACGGTACATACCCATTACAGCGTTTGAAACGCAGACAAAAGAAGTGAACCCAGACGTAATGGAAAACCCGTGGATTTGACAACCACGTTTCGGGTCTCCACGACATGCCTTAAGCGCAAGACAAAGTGTAACCTCGTCCACATTACGACCACAAAAGCCCAGCTGGATACTTTCCTTGAAGATCGAAAGGGCTTGTGCCGGAGAGTTTCTCCGTAATGATTCACTGATTGAATGGTTAATGAAACTTGTTGCATTTCTTTGGGAACTTCCATCGAACAGCTTGTGAGCAATTCTAGAAGACGAGCAGAATCTTTGAAAAAGTAACGATTTTGAAGGATTATAGTGTAGATAACTCAAAAGGGTCATGAGAAGCAAACTACTCGGATTCTAATTCACCTACGAAACTGAATTATCGAAGAACAAAGAGAGGTTTTTTTTAGCTTCTCTTAGACGAAGTGAGTATAACAGAGAGAGACTCTTTCAGAGCCAAAAAGAGTTTTGAGGGTAAAGTTGTAATTAAGGAATAAATTAGAGGGCAATACGGACAAGCTGGTGTTTGTTCTTTTTAAAGTGTTCCGCTAGGTTTTCTTCTCCTGCTCAGTCGTTCTATCTTGTGGCTCTGCGTATTCTCAGGTAAAACCCTAGCGATGAATCTTCTTCGTTGCTGCTTCATATCTCTCCGATTTGCAGTCTCTAGCTGGAATTTGACATTGAACCAACCGTTTCTATGATTTCTTCGTAATTTGCAAAATTCTTCACTGATATCATCGGTTTAGTGTATTTGGTGGGCTAAAAATTTTGAGTGAGTTTCTTTGTCTTGGAACGTCAAGGTCTGTGTTAGCTCTGAGTAGTTGTGGGCATGGTTCACGCTGTTTATTTGACCCTATACATTGTTCAGCTCATGAAAATCCATCTCTGTAACGCCATTGTCATTGATTTGATGGTTCTATAAGTTATATAATTTTCCGGTCTTTAGTGTGAAGTATATTGTAGTGTGGGTTTTAGTTTTCTGGTGCTATAACCATCTGTGTCTTTGTATATGGTAGAAACTATTTACTGGATTCTCTTTCTTCTGCGGGGTTGGTTTAGCGGTATTCTTCACCACTATTTAATATTCGAGTCTCTTTTGTGTGTGTAATCTCTGGTTTTTTTCAGGTCGTAACTTCGGATAGCTTGAGTGATACCAAAAACATGGCGAAGAAGAAGAATCCGCAGGTTTATGTGGATGTATCCATTGATGGAGATCCAGCTGAGACTATGGTTTTTGAGGTACCATGGTGTTTGGCTATGTTAATGTTCTCTTCTTTTTTTTTTTTTTATTTCCTGATCAAGTATAAGTGTTGACAAAGTGAACTTTGTTTCTTTAGCTTTACCCTGAAGTCGCTCCCAACACAGCAGAGAACTTCCGTGCACTATGCACAGGTTTGTTTTCTCTTCGGCTAAAGCTTGTTGCTTCCTTGCAATTTCTGAATTTAATTGTTGGCTTTCCTTCTCCCTTAACATTTATTTCCTCTTATATAGGGGAGAAAGGTATCGGGCCCAAAAGTGGAAAACCTTTGCATTACAAAGGATCCTTTTTCCATAGAATACTGAAAGGTTCCTCAGCACAGGTTTCTTTCTGCATCTTTCAATTACTGAGATGATGTTTCAGTCTTATATTTTTGGTTTTTCTTTTTCTCAACATTGCTTGGATGTTCGCCTTTTAGTCGGTTGCTGTTCTTTATGCTGTAGGATACAGGTCTGATCGCCACACCTGCTTTTCATGTGATATAGTTTTAAGGTTGTTCTACTAGTTGTTTATGCTCAAACGTTAGGCCTTCTCTTGCAAAGAGTACACACTTAATGTACGACTGAGTTCATGGTTGCTACTGGTCTAACAACCTCTTTTGACTTTTTTCAGGCTGGCGACTTTGTGAATCGAGATGGTATGTACACCTACTGGTTCAATTTAGCTTCTGACATACAGTTATCAATTACACCAGTCCGTTACATTTATTATTTCTGCCTTTTCTGATCTTATATGTATGGCACACAATTCATTCATGTAATCGATAGTTATCTGAAAACAGCATTAAAGTGTGATAACCTACTGGGTGCATGGAACTGCATTCATTAGATTCCTGTGGGGGCTCTTGAATTCATTAGATAACATCCAATCGGTTATGCAGTCAACATTTACAACATTCATTATCCTCTAAAAAACTGAATATTTCTTCCACTTTTCAGGTACTGCTGGGGAAAGCATATACGCCGGAAAATTTCCAGGTCGGTTTACCATTGTGTCTTTTATCAGCAATAAATGTTTTCATTAACAGGAAGTCCATCCTGGGTTTGTTCTGTATTGTTCACTGTTTAAAATTGTATTAGCAATCAGTAGTTTATTTTGGAGGTNTTGTGTTATTCAATAAGTGCTATCTCTACGTTAAGAGGACATCTTTTACTTTATCCTTTGAAATATGTTACTGAATAGCAAAATCATTTCTGATGTTACCAGATGAGTCACCGAAACTAAGGCACGAGGAGCCTGGTCTTTTATCAATGGCTGTGGCTGAACGTGACAAGTTGGGATCACACTTTCACATTACCTTCAGGCCAAATCAGCAGCTTGATAGGTTTCCTTCTCGATGTTACTTTGCTTAATTTTGAAAATCCATGAATAACTAATGATCAAATCCATCATTTCAAGAATTGTGGATTTCCCTTTGGGCATTGCGTTTTTGCTGACTGTTTTATATTTTTATCAGAAAAAATGTTGTTTTCGGAAAGCTTATTCAAGGGAAAGAGATATTAAAAAAAATTGAACGTGTGGGTGATGAGGATGGTAAACCTACTGTCAGTGTGAAGATAATCCGTTGTGGAGAATATTTTGGAGGTATGGATGTTATACTATTGGACTGTTACATAACTCATGACTTCTTAACAACAACCATAAAACATCATTGCATGGTTTTTCCATGCAGACAAGAAGAAAAGTGGCATTGATGATGGTCGAAAAAGGCGAAAGCACAAGAAATCTTCAAGAGAGAGAAGGAAGAAGAAGCGAAGACACTCTTCATCTGAGTCTGAAAGCTCTTCGGATTCTGAGACGGATTCCTCGGAATCTGATAGTGAGTCAGATTCAGATTTGTCTTCATCTTCTGACCTTAGTTTCTCGAGCCATGAAAGGCGGAAGAAGAGAAAAAGAAGTTCAAAGAAAGATAAGCACAAGCGGTCTAAACGGAGAGATAAGCGCCGGGAGAAAAAGCGGAGGATACATGATAAGAAACCAAAACGCAAATCAAAAAGGTGAATTGTTTAGAGCCATATTTACTGGTCTATGCTGGTTGCTGCTTAGGAGAAATCTATGTTATTACTGATCTGCATAATTACCAGTTTTAAGTAATGGGGTATATTGTATTGTTGAGAGTCATGTTATTACAGGTCTGCAAACTTACCCAGTTTTAAGTAGTGGNGTATAGTGTATTTATGGATCTTGATTGATTTATTTTGTTCCTCTTGGTAGCATCCTAACTATTGTTTGCTTCAGTAGGCCTTTTCTGTTCTGAGGAGCATGTGCCAAAGGAATTAGTATTATTAACTGGTTGTGTATCAGAGTTATTCACTTTCACTAGTGTTCTGCAACCTTTCAGGTCCCCAGACAGTCTTACAGGTGAAGAAAGCAACAGTGGAAGTGAAGCTAGTTTTAGTGATGCCAGTGTTGATATTGGAGCAAAAAAGAGGAAACCCAGAGTCTCTAATAGAACAGGTTATCTCTAAAACTCTTAACTCTTTGGCTTCTTTTTCGGCAAACATCAATTTCTCTGATTTGTTTTGAACTTTCCGATAGATAAGACATAATGCTTTGGATGCCATTTAATCAGTACCAATTTCCCTTTCATTTGCACAACGTGTTGATCATGAGTCTTCATATTATTGCCGATTTTTTTTTTTCCGCTAATAATGTTTCTGTACACTTGACATTCTGTTTTTGACTGCAATATTTAATCAGGCAATTCTTCACTAGAGGTGGAAAAAGAAGCCGAATCACTTCACCAGGACAAAAGGGAGGGACCACATATATTTGACAAGGATGATGGTGCATCAGAACATATTTCTGATAGGCAACCTGATATTGTTGATGATCATCCTGGCAAATCTAGGTCTACTTCCATCTCTCAACACCTCAGTTAATGGGTTATATACTTATATTTCTCTTAACCATATGGAATCTGATTAAAAGTTGATGTGCAGCAGCCGGAGCTTGAGTCCTAAGAGGAAAGCGAGTAAGAGCACGAGTATCAGTCCTCGGAGGAGTCAGAGTAAGAGCCCAAGCTTAAGTCCTAGATGGAATGTGGGCAGAAGTCCTGCCAAAGGTAACTGCCAAGTGAAGAACTTGACAAATAGTCGAAGCGTAAGCCCAGCTAGCAAGGAGAAAGGCAGGCATATTAGGAGGAGCCCTACCAAAAGTGTTAGTAGAAGTCCAGTGCGGATGAATAGGGGAAGAGATATTAGTAGAAGTCCTTCAAGGAGTGTAAGCAAAAGTCCATTGAGGAGCCCTATCAAAAGTGTTACTAGAAGTCCAGTGTGGATGAAAAGNGGAAGAGATATTAGTAAAAGTCCTTCAAGGANTGTAAGCAGAAGTCCANTGAGGAGCCCTAAAAGGGGTATTAGCAGAAGTCCAGTGAGAAGTAGTAATGCCAGCAGCCTTAGCAGGAGCCCTGTGAGATCTGCTTCTCGAGGAAGCCTTGGGAGGGGCCCACTTAGAAGATCATCAAGAAGATCACCTAGCAGAACTCCAGCTCGATCTTCTAGAAGAAGCCTGAGCCAGGGTCCCATTCGATTATCTAAAAGGAGTCGGAGTCCCATTCGATTATCTAGAAGAAGCCTGAGCCGGAGTCCCATTCGATCACCTAGGAGATCAAGGAGCAGGAGTCCGATTCGATCATCTAGGAAGAGTGTGAGCAGGAGTCCCGTTCGATCATCTAGGAAGAGTGTGAGCAGGAGTCCCGTTCGATCATCTAGGAGAAGTTACAGCAGGAGTCCTCCTGTTAGAGGAAGAATAAGAATAAGTAGAAGTCCAATTCAGTTGAGGAGAAGGAGTCCCCGGCTTAGGTCTCCTCCTAATCGTAGAAGAAGTTGGTCAAGAAGTGCTTCTCCTGCTGGGCGCATCAGGAGAGGAAGAGGATTTAGCCAGAGATACTCATACGCTCGTAGATACAGAACCACTCCATCTCCTGATCGATCTCCTTACCGCTTTAGTGAAAGAAGTGACCGTGACAGGTGAATAGCCACCCAAGAAAACTCCCTTTTCTGTTACACAGTCCTGTACTGACTTTTTTTCCTTTCCATATCGTACGTCTGCTCTGTAGCTTTCGAAGTCACAGAAGGTACTCGCCAAGACGGTTTAGGAGCCCACTAAGAGGAAGAACACCTCCAAGGTGCGTACTTGTCCTCTTTATTACATTCGTTTCTACTTACATATTACATCTAAAAGTCTCATGAATTAAATTGGGTGCTCCAAATAAAATTAGTTTTGATTTCACAACTCGAAAGTATTCTCAGATACAGAAGAAGGAGCCCTATCCGTTATCGCAGCAGGCGATACAGCCGCAGCCCTATCCGAAGCCGTTCACCTTACACAAAGAGAAGGTCACCATCCGCTAGCCACAGTCCGAGCCCATCAAGATCAAGGTCATATTCAAAATCTCCCATTGGTACCAGGAAAGCAAGATCACCATCGAAATCAAGATCAGTGTCGAGATCACCATCGAAATCAAGATCAGTGTCGAGGTCACCATCAAAGGCCAGGTCTCCATCAAAGTCTAGTTCGTCATCCTCGGGTAGTAGCTCAGGCGGGAAGAAGNGATTAGTAGCCTATGATTAAATAATCCGCATTGGTGCNTTTACTCAAAAAAGATGAGATGGTTATGTGGTAACTTTGCATCTTTGGGAGTATGATTTCATGTTGATGTTTGCCGACAAATGTTATTTTATTTTCCTTATACGCCAAATTGCCGACAAATGTTTACTTCCATTATTCGTTGTGGAGTTGGTTTTGGTTCCATAGACATGGAGTAGTCTTGTAATAAACTATATTGCTTATATTTTGCAAGTTTTCTAACAATTGACTAAACCATATTTTATGAGGTTGCAAATCCGCCCGTATCTTTCTAAGTTTTACATTTTGAGCCTAATGACACTATGGTTTGCACCGACAGGCATATAAACTAGCAAATAAGATAAACAGGCTGTTACAACGACCATTATAA